AGTGCACACATCAGATTGTCCACTAAATGCAAAGCTGGCCTAGACACTCCCATACGTCCCACTGCGGTTAGCCATGTGTTTCAATGATCAACCCATGAGACACGATCTTACCCAAAGAGCCGAACTCTGCTGGAAAACCGACTGAACGTGAGATGATCAAATAAAGTTCCTACCGACGGGGATTTCACATCAGTGGGTCTGGGAACACTAACGTTACCAATCGTAAGTGAAGAAAAACCGTCGGCAAGGTCATGAATACGGCCACTTGGATGGGGAGAAGAATGATACCTTGGAATTTTGAACCACCTAACAAATCCATTCAATGAAGTCTGCAATTCCATGCGAGCTTCTAAATTACGGTGGTCTCTAAAAAAACACGCTGTCATCATCATAGTTAGACCCGAAGAAAGAATCATTGAGTTGTGAGGCAGAGACGTACAAAGGGAAATAACAAAGATTGTTTGGGCCGGTAATTTTTAGAACCTGCTGTTACGCAGACATTGGAGCCTGATTCGATTAGTAAAACGGTCAAACAGACAACGTCAAAACGGACGGATTACGCGAACAATCCGATCACTATCCGAACAATCTAGGCCACTGACTTTGTCGTCTACATCACTGGTGCGGAATTGTCTGAAACTGAGATCTGAGTGTCGAAAGGAAGCCGGTGAATTTTATGAATGAAGTCTGCATTCTTTAAAGTTTTTTCCGTGTTTTAGAGCTACCATGCAACCAGCTATCCGTAATATTTAAGCACATGCCACACGAACTGTTACTGAAATCCGGCGCATGGGGAAAAAATAAAAAAACGTGGGAGCGGCCATATGTGGAGCACACGACCTTCAAGCAGAATGAACTAAAAAAGTAACGGAGGGAATCGTATCCATGAAACGAAATTCGAAAGTGGATATCTGGAACAATTTCGATGGCCCTGTCATGATTAAGCGTACGTTTCGATGAAACTGCCAATCCTTCGAATGTCAACAAAATTGTATTCCCGATGGTACTTTTTTCTCAACAAGACATCGGGCGAGACTTGGTAGCGAAGCATTGATACCATAACAGGCAGGTGCAATCTAGGATGGGATGGGGCATGGGAACAGAGGCGTCTACCGGTTACGACAATAACACACACGGCCCAGTTGCTAAGTTAATGGCATACGTGCAACTGAGATGTAACTCTGGATGCAGATTTCTTTTTAGATTTCGCTACTACTGAATTTGCAGACCAAAGGTATTGATTTCGGCCTCAAACGTAGATTCAAAAATAATAGTAATCGTTCATCTAATACGCTCTTTCGGTGCATATTCACAATGCCATCCGGAGGAAGCACGAGATACTATCAGGTTACCCAAGTCTAGACAAGAGCAATCGAGATGCTTAAGTCGGATTCGAACGAAATACCAGTAAGTTCGCACCTCAACCACTCAGCTATCTCGACATCATCGTCAAGGTTTCGTCAAGTAAAAAAATCGTTCGGCTGTAGCATCCTTTAATATGACAACTGAAATGACAGCTGAGATTCGGTTGACCATCCAAAAACAAAACAAATTGGAGTGCAAATGAGTGTAGTACGCAAATTTCGTGCAACTTGGGTTCACGTAGAACATAGGGTTTACGGAAACTTCGGAACTATGCCTATCTGATGAGCCCGAGGAATGGCGAAACCGGTTTTGAGCAGTCGAAAGTTTCAGCAGTCCATGAATAGGTTTCGTCAAGTAAAAAAATCGTTCGGCTGTAGCATCCTTTCGGTGTCTAGCTGCCATGCCACCCGAAGGTTGCACGAGGGCTGGGATACTGCCAGGGTGCCCAAGCCTAGGCAGGGGAAGTCGAGAGGCAGAGGTCGGGTTCGAACCACGGACCTTCCGGTCAGTAAATTCGCGCTCTAACCACTTGGGCCAGCTCGCCCCAAGTAAACATGTGCATAGTTATAGGTTAATGGTGGCGATCTGAGAACACAAACGATACTTTGGGATTCCCCCAAGAAAAGACTTTCGATTGTCGTATGCTTTATCAACTGAGTGCAATACCAAAAAACGAATTATTTAAGCATTCAGACCAATGGCTCAACTTACTGGTTGAGAAGGAAAAGAGATGCGTACAAGGGACAGGATACCCACAAATTTGTCATTTCCCAGGCAGTCAGAACTAGTCCAATGAGTGTGAAAGCTTGTAAGGCGGTAACGGCCAGGTCATAAAAATCGATGGGTTTTCTCCATGGAGAAAGCTGTTTTCGAAGTTGGAATGGGAAAGACTGGCTGGTGAGAAAAAATTAAAATTTCCAAATCAGTTGGTCAAGTTACGAAAAAAATAAGACTACGACACATCTCGATTTGCCTAACTGTTCCAAATAAACGACCACCTTCCAGCGTAACATCAGAAAATTTTTTATCGTTTACTAGACGACCCAAATGTTAAACTGAGGATACAATTTATCCTTTCTGATTGGCAGCGCACTTCGAACAGCGAACGCAACAGAACGTGTCTATCGCTTCCGACAGTGAATCCAAGAGCAACTGGAGAAATATTCTCTAGAACTGATTATAATACAATCGGAGACAGTATGGTATTCCTTGAGAATAGCTTCAGAACTAGTTGCACACTGTTTAGGCTTAGAGTGACCAGGGAAAGTGTTTCTTTAATGTCACAAAATATTTAGTTGGACAAGTATCTTGATAGCCGTGAAATACAGAACATAAGATATTTAAGCAGCATCTAAAAGCCGCCAAAAAGAGAGACATGTATTACATTATCAAACTTTGAAGTTTGTATGCAACTGTGAGGATACTGGTCGCGACCGGGGCATAAATATCAACAACATAGCATTCGAGCAAGTTTTCTGAAAAGGTTGCACAATTGGCAAAATGATATGTAGTTACAATGCTAGCTTTTTTGCTGCGATTGTCGTCACGAGATTCGCTCAGCTGGACCATGCAGTAGTTTGCTGTTTATCACGTTTCAATGAAACCATAAATCCTCATACACAGTCGAGGCTTATTATTTACGATTGACTACTATATGATTGTGAAGGAAACCATTCTACGAAACTGTGTGATCTGATAAATATCAAAAGCCTGAATAAATGTAGACGGAATGGCAGGATCCATGTTGAAATGCGTTGTAACAAGACAGTTTCCACAATACTTTGTTTTTTTCCACCTGGTACATGTCTATTCATCCGAAGCCCAACAGCATTATCCATACAATTCACTTGAATTGAAGGATTATTTCCAGTTAATGCTTTGACAGTCGAAACACCATTGCTCAGCAGTTGCGTGTTCTGAATCCATCATGTGTTTTAGGTCTTACTTGGAACAGAACAACTTTTCCGCAATGTTATAGACTACAACCGGGATAGACCTTACAAGTGTGGGTTAATCACGGCGTATGGCGCGTGGCCGACAGGTTTAGCTTGTAACTAAGAACCGGGAGGCCGCGAGTTCGAATTTCTCTGAAGATTCGTGGGGTGCGATTCGCCGACGGTCCCAAATAAGGAATCGGTGTTTCTTGGCTTCCCAGTATAGGCAGACTTCACTTACGACGCAAAATCCAGACTGCCATGTCAAAATGTCCCGATATTATCAACACACGTTACAACGCCGATTTGAGACACGTTGGCGGTGTACGGATACACGATTTGTGTCTAACCTTTTATCTGCCTTCTTGCACTGTTACCCCACACCATAAGAATAGGGTGACTATCCACTAACAAGGACGCGAAGATCGTTTTTCTTAAGTTCAGCATGAGTAAGCTCATCAGATCTGTCGTGTTTTTACCATAATAATAGTTCGCTAAGCATACAACCGCTACGGAAAAAAAATACTATACACACTTAAACCCCCCTTTAAAGAAACATTTACAGAGCGTAATGAGTCTCCAAAACAATGTAGAGATGCGAAAGAGAATTTCGTATTGATGATATTTTACCACCAAGGGTAAGAAATGACGTTATAAGTGGTATTAACAGTCTATGAGGCTGTAAATTAGCATAAACATCATCACCTGCCTCGTGTGATGGATGGGTCAAATGATCTCAAACTGTTGGTTAGTGACAACGTCGAGACTGCACTTCGGATCTTTGTCAACTACCGTGAAGACAAACACACAGTTGCGATCTAGTTACGTAGTGTCATCGATGTGAATGTTCTGCGCCAGAATTAAGAAAAAACAGCTACGAAGTCTGAAACTGCAAACGACTCGAAGGTCAATGGGCTCGATGGTGTCGGTGCACTGACGACATCTCACCGGATGGTGACGAAGCATCTGAAAATCAACTGTCAACCTCGGCTAACAGAGTTGTAAAGTTTCCGGTACCTTTAGTGTTGAAAACAACTCCGAACTGGTCGATTTGTATCTCGAATGTGGCCAGAGTTAACAGAACTTAGTATTAATTCATTCTTGAGCAACTAGCTGATAGGGATGAGCTTTGTGGCTCATGTTACAAAAAGTTCAGAAATATTTGCAGAGTATTTGCGGCTCCAGCTCAAGCAACTGAACATTATTTACCGCGTCCAAACCAAATAGAATTCAAGATCTGTTACCTGGTGTTAACTGGATGTAATGTGAAAAACAATGATTAGTTATTGTAAAGCGGTTGGTCCTCCACCATGTTGTCCTACCTTGGCTACCCATCAGATTTTTGGTGTAACTTAGGATCTGTTTTATCCAAAGCCATCATCAAAATTTGGTTCGGGGTCAAAAATTAGAGGTACTCTGTCCAGCATCCTGAAATTTAGAAAACTCGAGAGACCAATCAAATGAGGGTACATTCGAGCGGTGATATCCACGACGGCGAACTCCAATTATAACTTGCCTTCTATGTCTGGTCTGGCCTATTCCTTACATTTCTTAAAGATGATCATCCGGGTCAGCTCAGGAATGCAATACCTAAGCATCCATCCTTTTATGGATTCAGACGTGCACGAAATCAAGTCTTTCCTCAATTTGCACGAGTAGGTACGATTGAACTCAGACGAGTGCAACTTTATTGAAACTTACCCAGTAGAATACTGCTAGGATAACCTCCGGTATAATGTTCATACGCTTGTAGATATTAATGAAGCCTGGAGCTTCGGTTTTATTGTCCTTCGAGAGTTGATACAAGCCTGCAAGTAGATAAATGAGCCGAACGCGATTTACCTTTGGAGAGGGTTTTTGCGCTAACGAGGGTCTTGAAATAGGAGTAATACAAACCTTGTTCAGTACGATATGAAATTTCCTTCTCAGTCACCGTGAGATGTGACCACCAGAGATCCGTTTCGCGATGCATGTGGACGGAGTATACGTAAACACAAGCATAAATAAGCCCGACAAAGAGGGCAAACATAGGTGTGCTGTACAGAACGGTTGGTCTATAAGCAGCAGAGGAACCGTTATGAACGATACAAAACTTGAAAAATGGAAGTAACTTTCATATTTCTATCTATCGAGTAACAAATATAGCCAACTGCAGAGAACTATACAATGAAGCTTCTCCAAATGCTAATCGAAAGAATTCTGAACGTCTTCAAGTGGTGGATAATTAATGGGTACTTAAGTGAAAATTCGGGTCTTATTGCGCTCTTATACCTCCACTTGAATGCAGATCACACGCCAAAAAATCAGATAACTTAAGCAGTTTTCAACCCTGCATCGCTGAGAGGTACCGTTTTAACCTCTCTTGTATCATTAAAATCCCTAGTCTCCGAGCAATTGGAGCCATTGCACGACCAAGTATAATCTGTGTGACTGAAACATGACTCACAGATGAAACTCCGGACATGGCCATCTCAATCCCCGGCTATGATACTTACCGCTCCGATAGGAAAAGCTCAAGGGGCGGTAGTTGTGCAATCTATTCCAATTCAGAACTTCTTGCAACCCCGTTTGACGATTCTTCTCTGGAAGGGATTCCGGAGACCATTTGGATATCAATAGAACAGACCAAACGACCTGTACTGGTAGATTGTATCTATTTACCAACTGCCTCCCTCCCTCACCTCTGTTGCAGCTCTTTCACGTACTATCTCCACTACGCATTCCCTTCCTCATCCTTCTATATTTCTGTTGGGTGACTTCAACCCGCCGGACGTTTCCTGGTCTTCAACCACGGGCCCCACCCGTTACACCGCGCTGCTTGCACAACTACGTGTGAAGGGCTGGTCTCACTCGTGACCTACCTATTCTGGACCTAATATCCTCCAACGACGGCCATTTGGCTACAGCTGCAGTTAGTCCACACTTCCCAAGAAGTGATCACTCCATTGTCTGTTGCAACGTAGTCAGTTATGCCCGAACCGCCCCTCCGAGTCCATCCGTCTCACCGGATATTTTACAAGCTTCTTCGTCCATGCTGGCTTCCCAGGATTGGGATAACTTCTTCCTATCGAGAAACATATACCGCGTCAGTGACATATTTAACCAACACCAACTGACTGCCTTTCACCTTGTTTCTCCTGTAAAGCGTTTTCACGCCAATAACCCCAGCCACGATAGGTTATTAAAAACCTTGGATGCCAAAATACACCGGGCTAGAAGAGAATATCGGAAATCTCAGGATTTCTCACCACTAATTCTCATCAACAAACTCTCTACTAACCGAGAATCCTTTCGGGTATCTCTCAAACGCCGAGAAGAGTACACTGTCCTCAGGTCTCCCTCCCAATCCAAATTACTCAGCCGTGTTCCGTAGGCGTTGTACCCTAAACAGCCATTCAATTGATTGTTTGCGCCCCACAGATAGTGGCCCCATCCTGCCTAGAAGAGATTCCAGAAGCTACCTGGATCTCCATAGAACAGGCCAAGCGACGTGTACTAGTGTAACGGTGATACTACTGATCGGGAGGCACGCGAGCAGTATGTGTTGTTTGTAGAATTTCGCTTTGCGTCGATGAAAAAAGGGAATTCTGTTGCGGAATTCGTGGGGCCACTCTGCAACATTTGCTTGGATTTGACCGACGAATGAGTGGAGGCAACTAATCTCTAAGAAAACTCGTTCGGGAGAAGATCTGTGTCCAGTTTTTGTAACTAAGATGCAGATTAGAGTTTCGCTTCCCTGTTCAATGGTCTGTAACCGGTCAGTTGGCATTTCCGAACAAATAACTCCGCATCGAAGGCCTTCTTCCTTTCACTAGTAGGCTGTATCTATCTCCCACCGCCCCCTCTGTCGCTTCTATAACTGACTTGTCCCGTATCACCTCCACTGCACATGCCCTTCCTCATTCATCTAAATTCGTGCTGCGTGACTTCAACCTACCGGATATTTCCTGGCCTCCCACTCTGGGCCCTAGTCGTTACGCCTCACTACTTGCCCAACTTAGTGCAGAGGGTTGGTCTCAGACTGTACGCAGTCTCACTCGTGGTCAATACACCTTAGGTCCAATATTTTCAAATGAGGGTCATCTGGCTACGACTGCAGTTGGTGCATGCTTTCCAGGTAGCGATCACTGCGTTGTTTCATGTAACGCAGTCAGGTTTAGCGAAAATGTTCCCCGGAGTCCTTCTTTCTTTCACCTCCTAACTCCGGACATTTTGCTGGCGTTTTCATCCCTGCAGGCCTCCTGGGACTCGAACGACTTCTTTCCCTCGTCAGACACAACGGATTTGTGATATCTTCTACCAAAACCTATTGACCTCTCTCTACCTTGCCTCTCCCATTAAGAATTTTTAGCCTGGTATCCCTCGACATGACAAGGTATTGAAAGCCTCGAACGAAAAAATACACCGAGCCGGCAGACAATATCGGAAATCTCAGGATTTCTCGTTAAAAATACACCCGGCAGACAATATCGGAAATCTCAGGATTTCTCGTTATTACTCCTCATCAACAAACTCTCAACCGACCGAGAGTCCTTACTTACAACACTCGAATGAAGAGAAGAGACCACCGATCTCAAGGGGCCTTCT